TTCTAAAGTCTTGATTGTGCATTTTTTTTTTTTTTTTTTTTTTGCACTTTTGCATTTTTTTCATCAATTTATTTTAATTTTGATTATTATGGATTATTAGAAAAAATTACGATCGATCATTAATTTTGAAGTTTCTCAAAAAACCTAGAGAGGAGGAAATATATATATATGTTAGGTTTTTATATTTTAAAATAAGCATATATTTCATATTATGCTATTCTTATTATTTAAAACTTATTCCTTCAATTTGTCATTTCTTTAGAAAATTTTCATCCAATTGTTTTTTATCTTTATTAAATTTTATTTATAGACAGATATGATTTTTTTTTTTTTACCTACGTATAGATTTTGAAATAAAATTTTAAAACATGATTATTTTTTTAATATAATTTATATAATGTCTTATGAGAATTTTTGAATCATATTTTTGCATGTGAAGCCTGTGCTCAAGGATTGGACATATATGGCCTATAAGCAAAGAAAATATTTAAGAAGGACAAATGAAAAGAAAAGGAATTCATTTTTTTTTATTTTCTACTTCTTTATATAATCAAGATTTATCGAAATTAATTTTTGGATAGTTTTTATTTAAGTCTATTAACTTCAAATTTATTCAATATTAATTAATAGTTTTATTGCTACTTCTATTTATATTGAATAGTTTTTATTCAATATATTACTTCAAATTAATTTATTCAATATATTAACTTTTTTATTGTTTTTCATTTTATGTTGAAAACTCTAAACCTACTCAAGTATAGTTATTATGTAAAACAAATTAAATTGTTAGTTTTGTTAGAAATTAACTATACAACAATACAAAACACAGATCATTTACTCTTTATTTATTTTTAAATACTATGGAATCAATTTCTTTAAAATTAAATAATTAAAATTATGTTTTTGCAGAACCCATCAATTATTCAAATATAATTTTTTATTCTAATATTGTTAATAATTTTATGAATAAATATATCAAAATCAAATGTATAAACTTTCAAAAACTAATATTCTCATCAACATTAAATAAGAATAAAAAATACTATTTTCATTCGTTTATTTTATACAAGTTTTTACATCAATTGTTACTTTGTTTTAACAACACAATCTTATATAAAAAAAATATTATAGCTTTATTATATTTCATATTAAATTTTCTTTTTAGATTATTACGGGTTTTTAATTAAGAATTCACGAGATAAAAAAAAGTAAATCATATTTCTTTGGATACAAAAATATGAAAAACATAAGAAAAACATTAGTTAACTATAAAATTTTGATTAAAAATTTATAAAATTCAATGATTTTTTTTTAAACTTCTGATTTAATATCTTCTAGTGGATCAATAGTATATCGCGGATCATTAAACTTGAATAATTTTTTTAAATTATTTTACATATTCTTCTCGATCCTCGATGTAGCGTGGGTAAGAAACTAGTCATTTACTAGCCATATACTTTTCATGCACCTTTAATAAAGAATAATGAATAAATTTTGTTAAAGGTACCCGTAGAACTCACAAAACATTTCATCTAAAAGAATTATGACCAAATCTCTTAATTAAGAGTAAAATTATATATAATTAATTAGAATTTCTATTTTTTCTATTAATTTTATAATTCAGCATGTTAGTACAATTTGTTGAGCAGAAGAATAATAATGGAACTGTTGGGTAAATATTAAGGATAAAATTGATTCATCCATAATGGGCAACTTGTTTGTTGGCATTTTATAAATTAGGGACATTTAGCTTTTAACTTGCATTAAGATGATTCCATATCAGACGGCCAGGCTTTTTTTTTTTTTTTTTTGAGAAGACGCCGTCATAATTTGAATTTGGAGAAGAAAATGTTCATGGCTAAGTCCAAAGAGCTTTATATATATATATTATGTTGATTAAATTAATTTTGGCCAACACGTACAAAACTGCAATCCAATCGTGGTTGCTGGGGTCATCTTACATTTTTAATTTAATTTGAACATACAAGAATCCGATAACATTATTTTAATTATAGCTTTTGGTCACGGGCAATTTTGAATCCCAAAATTGGTCTATAAATGGCCACTCTGATCTTTGCTTTAGGTACTGCAAACGGACGTGGAGTGCAATTAGGTAAACTTCAGACAGCCATAGAAAAATACCACCTTTCGAGACTCGCAAAAGCACATGGTAGTCGTGCAGGCTATGTTTATCGTTTAGACAGAAAAGTTTAGTTGATCTTCAATTTCTGTTATACAATGAGAATAATCCACTTTCCATTCTTATATGGATTTTAACTTTTTGAAATTTTTTCGATTGAGATTGTATATTTTTTTGTATTGATTGATACTTTTCATTTTTTATTTTGTGTTGGTTGAAATCTTTTATTATAATACGATTACTTGAACAATATTGTGATTTGTTTATTTTTGAATCGTGACACATGTCATATATAAGATTTCAATAAAAAAATTCAATTAAAATAATTTTAAAAATATGAAATTTTCATCAAACAATTCAAAGTTTAAATTTTTTTCTTTCTAATTTTTGTGTTATTATATTTTTAAAAAACTTATCTTAAATGCTGCAAAACTTATTATATATAAGACTTCATCACAATAGAACTCTCAAAAATAATTTTTCTTACACTCTAGCAACTAATAACTAAATTATAATTTCATTTTAAAAAAATAATTTGAAACTTAGGTTAAATTAAAATTTATTTTTTAATAGTCCAATTATTATTGAATTATCATGATGTGTATATATATAAAACTTTTTTTAAATGATATTATTATGTTTATTTAATAAAATTATCAAATTACATGTGTTAGTAAAACTTATTAAGAATTGCTAAATGATACACGACAATGATGGGCGTGACTATTATCTTTAGCCACTAAAACCTACACTCAGTATCGCAATCCATTAAACCTATTGCAACCGTGTCTCTTGTTTAAAACTATGGTCTTTTGTCAGTATAAAGCTTCTTCATTTTAGTGGGTTTTATTCAAACATTTGGTATTGCCGTCACATAGGATCCTAATTGAAATTTTAATACAAGAAAGGGATGTATACATCATGTCTATCGATTAATTTTGGAAAAACCTATTTTGAAAACTTGTGTTTGTATTAAATTGGTAAATTAAATTTTATGTAAAAATTTGCAAGTTCAACCTTATGTTTGTTATATTTAGGTAATTTAGTCCAACTATCCTCAATTCTTTAAAAATATATATATATAAAATTGTGTGCTATATGAGTAATATTTTCCACATAAACAGGTTTTTGCATGTTTATTAAGAAATAAAGACAATTGGATGGAATTTGCTAAATTTAATAAACATAGGGTTGAATTTGCCAGTTATTTACGCATAGTTTAATTTGCCAAGTTATTTACACATAATTTAATTTGCTGATTTATAAAAAACACAAGTTTCAAAATGGTATTTTTTTTTCCGTTAATTTTTCTACAAATCCAGTATCTCTTAAAATCATATATCTATATATAGAAATTTTTTGACCATATATATTTTTGGACAAACATTAAATATAGCATCAAACTATTAAGATTTACCAAATTTACATCCAAACTATTTTTTAATCAATTTATCGTTAAATCGTTTTGATTTCTCAATTACATATTCCGTTAGAATCATTAAAAAAATATATATTAAGTTTCTACAAAAATAGCATATTTTTTAATAAAAAATTAGTGCAATTTGGATAAAAATATAAATAAAAAACCTTAAAAATAGACGAAAGTCTTTGACTGAGAATTTCTGAAAATATAAGAGTAAAATTAATACTAAAATTTATTTGATAATAACATTAAGGCTATTTTTATAATTGAATGGTATTTTTAAAGTCCCCCTTATATTTTTTTTAATGAAAAGAAACATTTTACTCTTAAATTTCTCCTTTTTCTTTGACTAAAGAATAATTCGATAACAAATAAGTTATTGATTTAATGATAAACGAGTTGGTTTCAGATAATTTTTTTATAAATATACAGAGTTTGAATCCTGAAATTGTATTTATTGAAACAGATTAAATTTTGTTATTATTATTTTTAATATAATTAATCATATTTTCATTATAGAATAAAAACATGAATTAAAAAAAAAAAAAAGGACGGCCCATACAAAAGATCTGTCGTTCGTACATTCAACTTTCTAAACCCAAAAAGGGAAAACAAAACAAACTTGTGAAAATATTAAAAGCTCAAATGATCAAATTTTGGCATCTTCTTCGTTGCTTCTTATTGGTTTCACACTCTCCACCATCTTATCTTGCCACAAGTTCCAAACCGAGGCAAGTTATTTCTTACCGACCTAAGTGCTGTGCGCCCAACCCCGTACCTTATTTTGAGTTGAGTTTGGTATGTTTTTTCCATTCTAAAACCTTTGACAAAGCGTGTGCTTTCAATTTAACCCAATTCTCTCACACTTGGAGGACTATGCTATGCTCAGGAAATAGTAGAAGCCAAAAACAAAGACCCTTCAACTGAAGAGTTCTTCTCAAAAATTCCAAATCACATAACATAACGGTCTTGAGAATTCCAAGCCTCTAAGCAATCAAAGATTAGCTACAAAACCCCAGTTGCTGACATGTTCTTTTCTTTCCTTAATTCTCTCGGCTGAACAATCCCTTCTTATTAGGTCAGACTTCCACTTCTCTAAATTTTACGATTTTAATTTTTTCATGCAAATTTCTTTGTTTTTCTTTTTTCTATAGGTGGAAAGTCCATTCTTTTTTTCAAGAATTCAAACTAGAAATCAGTGTTTCACGGACTCCTCTGTTTCTTCCTCTGTTTTTGCTTCAGAATGAAAAAAACCAGATTGATAGAGTTATATTGATGGCTACCCAAAAGAATTTTTTGATCACCGCCCAATTTCGATTGCTGAATATGGCTTCTGTTAATAGGTTTCTTTATAAAAAATCGCTTGCTTTTGCTGCCTCTTTCTGGCTCTTTGTCTCCACTCTGTTCCTTTCTCTGTTTGGTTTCTTCAATAGAACCATGTTCAGGTACTCAATCTTTCTTTAGTTCTTGTTACAATTACTTTAATTTTGGATTTAATAATTAAATTTCCTCTTTTTTTCAGAGTTAAGAGCAATACAAGTTCTAAAAATTCGAATAATTTGGAGGATAATGAACCAGAAGCTGAAGCTTCTGAATTTAAGGAAACAAATGAAATTGATGACTTAGAAGAAGAGGAAAGAACGAGTCAAAATGAAGCTAAGGAAACAGAAGTTGAAGTTTCTGAATTTAAGGAGGCGAAAGAAGTTGATGAATTAGAAGAAAAAGAAACACCAAAGTTCGTCTTCAAATTTCAGTTTCAAACTTACAGAGAGGAAGATGAGCCTGTTGTCTTGAGTTCGGTGCCTCCTACAAGCACTAACAAGTATGAGTTCTTGTCAAGGAAGGATTTCAGTCATTACTTGGAGGAGCCGGAGGTTATTAGTCTTTCTGTGAAAGAGTTATACGCTGATTCTGATGGCGATTCTATTGCCAATAAGGCGATTATGGAGGATGGGGTTTTATCTGATAAGGACTTTGCAGATGAAGAATCAGAAGCGGAATCTGTCCGTGAGGTAACAGAAGAGAATTCTGCAGATAGTGTGCCTAAACAAAACGCTAAAAAGGAGTTCGAGACCGAAACATTTGTTGAGTTGGAGGCAGAGAAGCTTGAGGCAGAAAATTGCATTAAAGAGTCTAGTTCAAGGAAGGGAAAAGCAGTTGTTGTGGAGAACAATGTGTCGAGTGACGAAGATGTTTCGAGAGATGAGGATGCTCAGTTTCTATCAGAAAAGGGCTTTGTTCTTTCAGATTGTGATTCGGATTCTATTGTTTCAAGCCAAGAGTTTATGAGTCGTTATGTAGCTTCAGCCAGCGATGGATTCTTGTCAGATACAGATTTTGAAGGTGCATTTGAACTTGATATTTTGAAGGATATTGATGGACAGACGGTAGAATCAACTGACGAAGATTTCGAACTAGAGGATTTAAATTTGCGAGATTTGAATACTGGTTACGAAGCTGATGATTTTGATGAGGAAGATAGTGACATAATGGAAGAGCTTAAAAAATGGAAGAGGCTGTGCAGAATCCAGCCAAGGTAGAAGACACAGAAATGCTGTCTGAGAAAGATTTGGAAGACAGCAACAATTCCAATCAAAATGAACATGGCTGCAAAAACAATGAAGCCAAGGACAGTTTAGATAAGCCAAAGTCCAATTCCCAGAATTCGTCGGCTGCTGATTCCGAGGATTCAAATGGCTTGGAAACCTTATGGGAGCATCAAGATTTGATAGAACAGCTCAAAATGGAGCTGAAAAAGGTCAGAGCTACAGGTCTCCCAACCATCTTAGAAGAAGACGAGTCACCAAAAATAATGGAAGATTTGAAGCCATGGAAAATTGATGAGAAGTTCCAGCATGAAGATAGAATGGGCGAGCTTCACAAGTTCTACAAGAGTTACAGAGAACGAATGCGGAAATTCGATATCTTGAATTACCAAAAGATGTATGCAATGAGTAAGTTACTTGTTACTTGCCTTCTCTTCATTCAATTTTTTTATTTCTGCAGATGTTTTTCCTTTTCCTTTTCTATTCTTTTTGCAACTAGCGATTGAAAATTTATTCAAAACTTTTGTTATTGATAAACTCTATCCGTGTTAACCTACTAATCAAATTCTTTTAATCAAGACATCAATTACCTTTGCAGTCTTTTGGAAGTTAAGAGACAACTACAAGGACCCACTAAATCTAGTTAGTTTGGCTAAACAGGAGCATGAACCTGCTCATATCACAAGCATTTAGAGTAGTAATTACACAAAACTAGGAGGTTGAACCAAATTATATCTTATATTGATCAACTTTTTCCACTACCCACACATGCATACACAATATCGTATTTTGCACTATATATTAACATGGCTACAAGTAGAAAAATCCTCATATCAGTTCCATTATTTTGCACTATCAGGAAAGCTTTTGTTGCTTTCCCGCTTTAAAGCTATTTATATTAGTTTGTCCATCGAAGTTAAAAGATAAACCTATCTTTATGCATTTGGAGCCACCCCATTTTCCTTTGTGCCTGAATCCAAATTTTATAGGTGCATATGGATAATCTTTAATGCCATTCTACCAACCTTCATCTTTCAAGTACTTCTCGACATCAATTCATTTAATAGCGTTATATCTTATTATAGAATGGCTTTACCTAAATCTCAATTCTCGTCTGCATCTAAAATAATCTTGCACTTAATTTAATGCTCCACGTAATCTACTTTCTAAGCTTGATTTCTTTTGAAAACAATCTTATTTTAATAAAGAAGGAAGAAGACAAGTTGGAAAAGCAACGTGCATGATTTAAAATGACCTTTAAGCTATAATTATATATGCATAGCGTTCAATTACATCTCCTGCTTTATATTATTCATATGATTACCTTTTAAGTTCTATAATGAAGCACCTTATGCCTCGTGGTTCATCACAATCTATAGGCTTTCTTCAATCGAAGGACCCACTTCAATCAATTGCAAGCCATAAAGTTTCAGCTCCAGCGTTGACGTCCCTTCTTTCGCAGAAATTCCTGCGAAGCAAGCACAAAAAGTCCAGTTCTGACCCAATGAAGAACTTTATTAGGGAATTGCATAACGATTTGGAAGTGGTGTATGTTGGGCAACTGTGCCTCTCATGGGAAATCCTTCATTGGCAGTACGAAAAAGCACTAGAGCTATGGGATTCTGACCCTTATGGGATGCGACAGTACAATGAAGTTGCTGGCGAATTTCAACAGTTTCAAGTGCTCTTGCAAAGATTTATAGAGAATGAACCTTTTGAAGGTCCAAGGGTACAAAATTACATCAAGAGTCGATGTGTGTTGCGTAATCTCCTTCAAGTTCCAGTAATAAGAGGTAAGACATTGAACTATCATGAATCGGGCCATGAATGCCAATAAATACACCTGCTCATTTCTTGATTTTTTAGGGGGGAAAAAATAATTTAAAAGGAGGAGTAAAAGCTACACAGTATGGCCTACCAAAGAGCTCTTTATATAAAAATCAAAAGAATCGTGACTAAAGAAAAGCTCAATTCTTCTGCAGAGGACAGTATGAAGGATAGAAAGGCAAGAAGAAAAGGTAAAGATGACGATTCAATTACAAGTGATACGCTAGTGGAGATCATGGAAGAATCAATAAGAATTTTCTGGCGATTTGTTCGATCTGATAAAGATGCACAAAATGTGATTTCAAAGGGTCGGAAGGGAACTCAAATAGAACCCCAAGATCCCACTGAACTAGAGCTCTTGACAGAGGTTCAAACAAGTCTTCAAAAGGTTAGCTTCATATTTTTGTCCATCTATTGCTTTTAATACTAAAATGTAAATCTTGTTTTCTGATGTTTAATATCTTCCCTATGGGAATATAATATATACAGAAGGAGAAAAGGCTTAAAGACATTTTGAGGAGTGGAAACTGCATATTGAAGAAGTTTCAAAAACATCAAGGGGGCAATTCTGATCAAGTTCTTTACTTCTTCTCTCAAGTGGATATGAAGTTAGTATCAAGGGTTCTGAACATGTCGAAATTAACAACGGACCAGCTTCTGTGGTGTCACAGTAGATTGAGCAAGATAAATTTTGTTAGCCGGAAGATACATGTAGAACCATCGTTTTCGCTTTTTCCATGTTGATGATAGCATGCACTCTTTACCACTACATAGAATATATCTTAGAGAAAAGGAAAAGGAATTTTGCATTTCTTGCTAGTTTGCATCCTGTTTATTTTGCAAGAGTTCATTAGAAAATTTATCACCCAAGCTCGTTATCTCAAATTTTATCATTCTCTAACGTGAAGGGGGTGCGTCCGGCTCTTTACCTCAAATTTCACACATGGCATTTTTTTTTAAAAAAAAAAATTCCAAAATTGCCTCCTCTTCTCTACCTTTAGGTATATAAATAAAAAAATAATTGATCTCAGTTCTTTTTTCTTTTGCTTTTTCTCAAATTCTGGAAAAAAAAAAAAATCCTAAAATGTCCTTTTTATCTTTTTTTTTTTTGCTTTCATTCTTATATTATTTTTTTCTGGTTTGGATTTGAAATAAATTTTTATAATAAATTTATCTCAAATCCAAAGACCAACAAAATTGTAGAACAATTCTAAAAAAAAAAAAAATAGTTAGATGCACCAAAAGGAAAATAATATGGTAAGAGAAATGAAGGAAACAACTCCGACTCTTACAAGAAGAAGAGTTAGTGCGCACCTAATTAATTAGTTTTAAAACTAAAGAGATCATTTAATTCATTTTGTAAAACTAGAGTGACTAATTTATAATTTGTTCCTTTTATGAATCCAGCTACTCTGTAAGAAATAGACACATAGATTACATGGGCCAGAAGCCTAGTTACTATAAACACTATGGTCCATCTAACTATCTAAGCCTATAAAATCCTGCTGCAAGCCTAGCCCACAAAAAAGCCTCAAACCCACCCCCAAACAACAAATCTATTCTTTTCTTTTACTAGTATTTTTGGCATCAATGAAAGTTATATCAAAATATTCAAGTTAATTGTAGAAATTGAGTATTATTTTAGGTGTTCATATCCAAATTACATACAATCGAAGAATAACCCAGGAAAAACCATACTATTTTTTTTATTGTGCAAAAAATATAATTTCTTTTTCTAACATTTCCAAAATTATAAAAGCCATATATGTATAACTACTCAACAAGTATTTTGCTTTCATTAAATCATATGAAAATCCATACTAATCGAGCCACATACATATATATTATTTCGTATGTTTATATAAGGAAAAATCCATCAATGAAGAATTTTATTTTATTTTATTTCGATATGCCATTTGCCACTTTATGATAAAAGTGAAATAATAATTTTAATATAATGTATGACTACTCAACAAGTATTTTGCTTTCATTAAATCATGTTGACATTTCTATGATAAAAATTATTTTTCAAAATCTTTTAGACATAATTACAATTATAAAATAGGATAAATAAGTTAATTTATGTTAATATAATAGTGTGAGTTTCCAATAATGTATTTTACTTAAAAAAAAACTAAATTCTAAATATTTCAAAAAATAGTAGAAGCAGGTCCGATGACTTTAAAGTGATTTTTTTTTTCATTGTAGTTAGGGGTATTTTGATCAAAATATTTTTTTATGGTCCGAAAAATTGATCGAAATGAAAAATTAGAGATTTAAATCTTATTTAAAAACATAATAAATACAATTAGAAACATAAAAATAGTTAAAGATTTATTTTATTATATAAAAATAAATTAACCTATTTATCCTTGTAAAATATAGTTGAATATTATCATATTGAAGTGTTAGAAGAATTAAAAATAATAATAAAAATAGATGCAACCATTACAAATTAAAATGTGGAAGCACTATTCTCATTTATAGAAGTGTTACTATCAGTTCGTATTGTAGAAATAATTAAACTCATCTCTTTTAATATATATATATATATATACAATAACCTAATGGTGGTAAATCTATTACCGATGCGGTTTTGAAAGCAACTTGTTTGTAGTCCAAAAGTGAGTTTCGATTGATCTTTCTTTTTCGAAGGTATTTGTTTTTCATTTCTCCTTTCTTTTTCTTCTTCTCTTTTAGTAATTTATGATCTAGTTCCATACGGTTCTAAAATCTTATTTGTTTTCCTTTTTTTTATATCACTAATTTAATTTAATTTTTTTCTTGTTGGGTTTATGTTTCATTTGAATAAAGTATTTACTAGTACAATTTTTGGTTTGAAGGAAATTGTTACTCTTTGGAATTTATGGAAAGATGGTATCTTTTATCAACGAAGATTGGTGACTTGAGATTTTTCTCGCATGCATGAGCTATAACAACAATCTTATTTTAGGTTAAAAAGCCCTCGATAATGAAGATTAGAGAATCCAAGATGGACTAGCAGTGACATGAAGGATCATCTTTTATTATTATTGTTAGTCGTTTTGTTTATTCCTTTTTCGATGTAAGTTGTAATTTCCATATCCATTGGATTTTTAAAATAGCAATGTATTTTGCACTTTTTTTTGTGTTTAATAAAATTACTATATTCCATTCTCTCTCTCTCTATCTCTCTCTATGTGTGTGCACGAGCGTCATGCGCAATAATTCATGATATCAAATGTTAAGAAAAGTCTCTAAAGTTAGCATATAACAATAACAAAATAATAATAATAATAAATAATATTAATAATATTAAATGTAAATGTAAATTTTTTATATCTTTGTCTTTGACCTCATAAACACTTATCATTTTTCTCATTACCTTATAATCTTAATTACTATTATTTATAAATTGATATATAAGGTACATAAGACATCATGGCAATACTCTAGTGAAGAAATAGCAAGCTTAATTTATCTTTAAAAAAAAATCAAAGTTCCAATAAGCTCGGGAAATGACTTAAATCCTATATGCCTTTCAAATTAAATTGATGGTTTGTGTATGAGGAATGTACTTCCGACTAAACAAAGTAACCAAAATATTAGTCATGAGGTAATCACTCAACATTTTATTTGGCTAATACACTAGGCAAATAAAATAAGGAGCCTAGTAAAAAGGAATGGATACATTTCATCGACCCTTAGGAATCGCCAAGAAAATGCGATATATGATGATAAAAAAAAAAACTAGTTTTGATTCATTCATTTATGTCCCAAATTGCCCATTTGGTAACTCTCTTGTTAATTTCATAGCAAGTGTTTAGATTTGCATGTCCTATATGAACATTATTCCAACAAGGATCCCTTTAAAAAAAAACTTGTCGAGTTATGTATTTTATTGATAGAATAAGGAAAAACCATATTTGAAATTTTTATCTTACTCAATCTAAATCTATCCCTCATAACCCAACTTTAAGCTTTCGTTTCTTTCATGAAAACTCGGACTAGGATTACCCCCACACCAGGGGTAAAAAGCCGATTATATATAAAAAAAGGATTTCACCGACACTTAGGAATCACCATGTAAATGCGATATGTGATGATAAAAAAAAAAATAATGTTGATTCATTCATTTATGTCCCGAATTGCCCATTTGGCGCCTCTCATGTTAATTGCATAACGAGAATCTATATATGCGAGTCCTATCTAAACACTATTCCAATAAGGAGTCATTTAAAACAAAACTTATCGGTTTACGTATTTTGTCAATAGAATAAGGAACGACCATCTTTGAAATTTTTATCTCAATTAGTCTAAATATATTCCTTGGAGCCCAACTTTAAGCTTTAGGTTTCTTTCATGAAAACTCGGACTAGGATCATCCCTTACACCGAGGGCAAAAGGTCGATTATTAAAAAAAAAAGGATTTGAGAGACATTTCACAAAACTGCTTGCCTTTCTAAGAAATTAAAAAGGGAAATCATAATCAAGTCAAACCTTACCAAGAATAACAAAAAAAAAATTATTCTTTACAAAGTTGTTATAAAAAAAAAATATCTTCTACATGATACATATATATTGTAGAGAGAAGCAACTCACCTCACAAATATGGATCCCAAACAAAGAAAAAGAAAGAGCATGTTCGGAAAAAAATTGATTATTTGATTATTAAAATAAAAAAATCATCATCAGTCATGTCTCTACAACAAAAAAGAAGGAAAGAAAGCTTTTTAAAAAGGTGGTCCTATGTCAAAAAAAATCCCGAAACACTATTTGAGTCTACATCACCCATTCTTCAAGAAAACTATGCTACAACCATCATTACGTACTAAAAGAAGTCCTTTCTAACTTAAGACGAAATACAAACCAATGAGTCTTTGATTCTCAAGCAACTTTAAAAGAATTTTGTTGAAAACAAATAGTAAAGATTGAAGCACGTGCCATATAAAATCATGGTTGGTGCCAAAGGATAGTACCTAGGGGAAAACAATATTTTCTCTCATTGAGCCCATCGCTCATGTCATAATTTAAATGCATCATTAAAACATAAATACAAAAACCTCAAAATTGACCATATTATAGCATTTGCATGATAATTCCACGAAGTGTTTGTGGTGTTTTTATCCGAACCTTAAATCCAAAATCTCCGATTGAAATTTAGCTAACTCTCCTTATGAAGTAGGAATTCAAAAAATATAAAATTGACAAATAACTCGAGATGCATTTGGGATCCCAAGTCTCAAAGAAAATCACCAAAGAAAACACAAATCAAGCACAACATTATCCAAGTATAAATAGTCGATTAGTAGTTGATTGTAATAGGGAATGACCACTACCTTCAATAGATCAAGATGATCAAAATTACCTTAATATTCAATTGAAAGAACATGCAAACCCAAGTTTATAGAAATGATAAACATGATTAAGGGAGGGGTTAAGGTCATGGTGTTTGGATTATAATCACAATTTAACATTCGAGCCTTAACAATCAAAAAGAGAAGCATGAAAGAAATAGTTGAGCGGGGTAACTTATATTTCTTACGAGTACCTCAACTAACCATCGTGCCAAGCATTGGTTTAGAAACATTGCAACACAATGGAAAAGATGAAATCTGTGATGAGTCAAAATAAAAAAATTCCTAAGAAAGGTGCTCGAAACACATCCTATTAATTCACTTTAGGTAGGATTACCCGACAATAGATTATTGACCAAACATAAAATTCAAAAGTTGACAATCAATTCTCACTTCTAAGTAGGATTG